TGTATGTAAATGAATGCTTGATTTGCTTATAAAATGGTCATTTTCTTTGATCCACTAGATTTTTTTTTTCTTTTTCTTATGTCCTCGGTCTTCTAAGATCTTTCGCCATCTTCTCCATGTTATCATTTTAAGCATTTGAAGCTTTTGGAGAATGAGAAAAAAGATACGAAAAAAGTATACAACTTAATTAGACAATGACTCGATTAGTTTAGAGGACTCTTCAAATATGTAGTTGTCACCAATTTGAGGCTTAATTACAAGATCAAAGACAAACTTTTCCATATCGTCATTTACACATATAACACATGTACGAAGCAAAATATAGTTAGCTTGTAAGATCACATCATCACCAAAGAGTGAGTTCAAACCTCACATCAATCTCTTCCAAAACTTGATCCGACATAATTAATATACATGTGTTCTTTGCTAGATTGATTGGATAAGAAAATTACATGTGTGTTCTATTAATTTCTATTTACATCTTGTCACTGATTTCATTGGATAATTTTTTCTTCATGGTTCTAATCGTTTAACGAATCAATTTCTTCTCTTCTTCAACATTTTGTTGTTTCACAGTATATAAGAACATTGACAATGGAAGATACAATGGGAACACATGAGGGGAATGTTCATATGAGTTTTACAATTAATCTTATTCTTCTTACATTATAAACTCATTCTGGTTTAATATTAACCGAAAGAATATGAATTGCGAAATTCCGGTCTAGCTTGAAAGTCCTTCATTTGTTACGTACACTGCCCACGCTTCCTGCAAATTCCAAAAGCCACCTAAAAGTTAGTGACCAGAACAAGAAGCAAGATTTAACACATTTTTGGTTTTTGTTCGGTTTAGTACCTGAAGAATGCCGAAAACTCTGCTAGCGATAGATTTCTGAATCGGTGAAGCTCCTCCTCTTTGTTGAAGCTTATCAGGATGTAAACAAAGCCGAGCTTTTTGGTAAGCTTTCTTCACTTGTGATCCATCTCGAAGACTTGCTAGAGGAATCGCGTGCCAATTGCTATTCGACCAAAGAACCTGAATAGATTCCAAAATAAGCATCGGTTTAACAAAAACCATACCAGCTCAATGCAAGCCATACAAAACTACTACGTTTTGCACTCCAAGGTAACCACCATACCAACCACCATCCACCATACCGTTTTCACTATACTGTATGATGTTCGTTGACAAAAAAAAAAGAAAAGATTGTGGTTAATTTTCTCAACTTACATGATGTAAAGTTGAGAGGAGCAGTCTAATGTTTCTTTCCTTTCCGGTTAACCAGATTCTTATCTCTTCATCTTTCATCTCCATTTCCATCTGCAATGATTCAATTTCCTCATTAGATTAACACAAAGAAAACTAGTTACCGATTTTCCGGGTTTAATCCTATGCATTTCTCCATCGATTAACATTTTTCCGAAAAATGTCAGAATTTTACTAACC